AACATTTTTCTAAGAATATATTTGCAACAACTACCAGTGTTAAACTTGAGGATTTCTTCATTAAATTAACTTAAATGAGATCAGTAGATCAGTATTTGTTCATTAACTTGAGGATATAATCGAGCTGGCACACAGGCCGGTCATGGAACAACCTGGTGAACTGCCTGCCCATTTATTTCCCATTGTGAGAGTTTGATTTGCGCTTTACTTGCCATGAATAATCGGTTGCCTACCTTCCTATCAACTATACCTAGGGTATCTAGACGCTAGTAAAAGTAATATGCAACACATATAATTATTGGAGTCCACAGCCGGTTGTATATCAAGTAACTCTGAAACCTGAACCTGAATTCAAGGTTCATGTGTTGAAAATGCTAATTCAGTAACGACTAGGTATTTATGGCCAATCTAAATCTTGCATTGCATGTTGTAAACAAAGCATGTGATGAGTTGGACAATTATTAGGCTAGCAAGGTACCGCTATGCATCATGACAAAAAGAAGTTTTTGCATATCATGTGCAGTTGATTTTGTTGGCTGGCAGGCTTCAAAAGATATGCCCCTTGGTTTTTTTGTAGGGGGCACTTTGCCACATACACACTCCTAATGTTCATGGTTATACTGCTACTACTTGGTGTACAAAGAGTTGCAAAATGTCTTTTAACTTATTTTGAAAGCGTCAAGCGACGCAGGTTGTTCTGTGCCTTGATGGTGATCAATATATATACTGCGAGTTGGGGGTATGAAACCCTAAGGGAAGCAGCAGATTAAGACAGTAATCTATAATAACAAAACATGCTTGGCTAGGTATTTCTAAAATATAATTAAAAAACCAGAGAGAATTCCCCATGCCACTGGGAGAAGTAGTATCAGTCAAATACTTGATGCTTTCTTTTTAATTAATCTGTGTTACATAAATGTAGGTGGGTCAAATTAAATTATGCAGTTGAGAGCGTATGAAAGGTTGCAGTAATGGTGGTTCATTGCAAATTATGGAACGTAATGAGAAGAGAATTGGGGCATGCATGATACAGTAGCGACAGCTTGACATCTCAACGTCACAAGAGAAACAAACCATGTGCTTTTTTCGCAACATTTTTGAACCAATAATGAGAGGCACTTGCATGATTGACGTTCGCAAGGCTACAATTTTCTAATGGATGAGACAGCTGGGAAGGAGGTGTTGTCAATTCTATCGCGATATTTTTCTTTTTCAAGGTAATGCCAATTCTATATGTTACTCGTGCCATTGCCGGTACTAGATTGATGTATGAAATTGGTAATTAAAAGATTAACAATTAATATTTCTCGTAATTATTCTAGCTAGGAAGATCGATGTACAAAGCTAACAAGACAACATTATCTTAATCAATTCAAACTTGCCTCATTACATTATTATTATCATTATTACAAAATATAGTAATTTTATCAACATAATAATAAGGATTCTTTATTAATTTTGCACAATCTATATATATAATACATTATATACATATAAAGATAAATATATATCTTACTCTTTTTCAAAAAATATTTTTCTGATAATGTTGACCAAAGGTTAGATTGTTATGATAATAATGAAGGAAAAATTAACCAAATTAATAAAAAATTCTAAAAATAACACATCCACAGTAGCATTGAGACCTAACTAGCTAGCTAGTTGCTTCGGATTTCGTCATTGAGGAAATTGTTACTGCTGGTAGTATGTGTGTGTGCACATATATATCTAACAATTAAATAGATAGATAGATAAAATAATTACAAAGATAAAGACTCACTGATATTAGCAACCCATTTCTTTTTATTAATTAAACTTCCACAATACGATGGGGAGTTAATTAATAAGTGTGTTGCACTTCATTGATTTAAAAATTTAATTAGAGTTGATTAAGAATGCAGACGGTCCTCCATCAGAAGCAAGAACTCGTTCACTTGGCTGGTATGCTACAACATCCAGTATGGGAGCCCGACAGATTGGACATTTTCCTCCACTCCATTGCAATTCATGCGCACATTTCAGACAGGTGCACATGTGCCCGCATCTGAAAATAAAATCCATGTCGCACTACTCACTTTTGTATCTTCTGCTTTCCTCAAATACTAATAAATTAATACTAGCTAATACTAGTATTGCTACTACATGCTTACTTACCTGTACAAAAGTGAGTCAACCTGCACTTCATAGCAAATACAGCAACTGCGTTTCCATGGTGCCCTATCTGCTGAATTCTTCCCCTCCCCTCCATCTGTGTTAATCATTTCATGGACAGTACTCATCGCAATTAGATTACAAAGACTTCAACATTATTCTCTAGCTTTATAAACAATTAATTTTCAAGTCTCACCCGAACGAACTTCCCGATTAAACCATTGTTGCAATTTCATCTGCATGTCCATGCAGCTCATAATTGATCTTCTTAGCTCAGCCATCTCCTGGTGAAGTTGCTCCATGTGCCCTCTTAAATCACAGATGAGTTCCATTTCCTGTAATTGATAGCATTGTGAAAACCAATCAGTGACTGACCGAAATTCTGAAAATATTGAACTGATTAACATGCGTATAAATCAAGAGATGTCAAATTGAACTCA